ACCTCGTTGAGAACTTTTTCACTGCAATAAACACCTGCTTACCTACAGTAGCGCCTTACTCCCACACTTCTGCTGTATGCGCACCTGCAGTTGTGATCTCACTCTCTGCCGCTTGTGCACCTGCTCCGTTTTATAGTTGAATTTTTGGTTTTACAAGTATCCAGATGTAGGGTGGCATTTGAACGGAACGAAATTTAATGTTTTGCCAACTTACCACGTCGCCTTTGTGCTCCTTGAAGTCTTACAAGCTTTCAAGCAACTGAAATCTAGTCACCTATAATTGCATAATGCAACAATTTGCCTGGTCCACTTTTCCGCCAAAAAAACTGCAGTTATTGTTTTTTAGAAAACCCATATTTACACTTGTTGGTGAACGTTCACTGATCGCTAACGGAACTCATCTGTCTCGCTCTGCCTAGGGTCTCAACAGAAGCCATGACAGGAGAGACTGGAACGGCCATTTCTGGCTTATTAGCCGCCGTCAGCCAGTCATGCTCAGTCCGAAGTGGTGCCCCACCCGAGCCTCAAACTCGCGACCTTTTTAAGCACAATCTAATGTCCTTACCAGGCGGGACAACGAATTCGTGGCTCAATGATTAGGGCGTTGGACTCTGATCAAAAAGGTTGCGAGTTTGGTGCACCCCTTGGGTCTGGGTATGACCGGCTGACGATGGCTAATAAGCCAGAAATTTTCATTCCAGTCTCCCTAACCTTTGCCGGCAATACTGTAAGCTCATATTTCTTTTGCTAAGCCTTATCAGTTTGCAACAAGGCTTGATTACGCCTCTATAAATAACTTGACTGGATTTTCTGTTTTCTTTTCAAAACATAATGCCTCCTACCCTAGCACAAAATGCCGGCCCCATAAGTGTTTGGGTTCCTGAGCTCAGGAATTAGTACTCTGCCTTGCTCGGGTGCAGACATTCACCCGTCCGACAGTCGACGTATTCCTATCTATTCTCCCACTCCCTCTGTACAGAATAAACTGTTCCTACCACTCTGGCCGTCCACCGGCTTATTTTTCTTCCAAAGAAGCCGGACCTGAAGATCGCACTGGCTAGGGTTTTTGACTTATTAACCTAACCCCACCGCGATAATCCTACCACTGAAAAAAATGTTTCTGCAAGGCGACTAGGCTGCTTCTAGCCTTACATACTAGTTGTGACGAAAATTAAAATCAAAAAGTGCTTTTTTAACTGCAGAAGTGTCCCTGGTTATCGCAGAACCTGTCAAAGGGGAAATCTTTGCGGTTAGAGTAAATGTAGCGAAATAGGAGTCGGAAATGCGAATGTATGCCTACCCGTTTTGAGAGGTAAGCCATCCGCGTCGTAGCGTCCTTGAGCCGACCAATCACGCCCTCCACGTCATTGGCAAAAGTGGGAACGTTGAGCTGGTAGATAAGGCCATGTCTCCACCAGGGCGTTGCCGTGGCAAATTTGGGCGTCGACGCTACGCCAAAAACTACGCCCAGCACAATACCCACTACAGTGAGTAATATGACGAAGGCGAGAACGGACATCACAATTATAAATTGCTTCTTTGTGCAGCCGCAGGGAGGAACGAAGGCTTTGCTGAAATGAATTGGAAAGGCAGAAATATATTGATCGTTGGAGGCGGGATACAATTCAGCGGTTCTTTAAGAAGGAGACTTTACACAGTCAGTCCCTTAGAGCAAGAAAAAACTTCAACAGCATACAGTTGTAACTATCAGAAATTTGCTCTTGTAAATATGTCTGCTTAAATGTATGCCAATTTCTGAAGGGACCGTGGAATCGAGATAAGCAGATCCCTGGTAAAATTTGAAGCAAGACAGAATAGCAGAATTTATTCGCGCGAATAAATTTCG